CACCATCAATGCCTTTTGGGGACAATTCAGGCCTAAAGTCATTGTTTCACGTTTTATAGTCAAGAAATGTAAGATCTCAAAACTGCATTTTACATGTTGTTTAACTACAAACATCAGGTAAAAATTTAGGGGTTTTCATCTTTTTTGACAAATGTAACAGTGCTATGGAAGAGTAAGCAGGACTCAGTTATGCTTTGTGCAACATCAACAAAATTGTCAACTAAGGAAACAAAGGGTAACTGGACGGTTTTCACAGTGGAGAGGGAGGACCCCACTATTTACCTAACGATATATACTGGGACCTGTGCTGTTCAACATATTCATAAATGATCTGGAAAAAGGGGCAAACAGTGAGGTGGCAACATTTGCATACGATACAAAATTGCTCAAGATAGTTAAGTCCAAAGCAGATTGCAAAGAGTTACAAAGGGATCTCACCAAATTGGGTGATTGGGCAACAAAATGGCAGATGAAATTCAATGTTAATAAATGCAAAGTAATTCACATTGGAAAACATAATCCCAACCATACATACAAAATAATTGGGTCTAAATTAGCTGTTAATACTCAAGAAAGAGATCCGGGAATCATTGTGGATAGTTCTCTGAAAATATCTGCTCAGTGTGCAGCAGCATTCAAAAAAGCTAACAGAATGTTAGGAACCATTAGGAAAAGTACAGATAATAAGATAGTGGCATTATGATTTTTTTCTATATAAATCCATGGTACGTCCACACCTTGAATAATGCATGCAGTTCTGGTCTCCCTATCTCAATTATTATTTGTATTTAATCACTGGCTAGATGCCTTACCTGAGATTGGAGCCTAATTATACTAGGTTCTATACAAACAGTGAGAGACAGTCCATGCCTCTGTGTTGCTATCTGCCCTCACTTTTGTCATTGTTTTGTTATGAATGACTCCGTGAATTCCTTGGGCAAGAACACTGCCATTGTTTACAGCTGTGATGCACTATGTTCACATGACATTATGTAAATAGACAATAGTTATATGATTCCATTATAGTTATGATAAAATAACGATGATGATGCAAAATAAACATTTTGGATTTTAGATACTAGGATAAGTATGCATTGTTGGCAATTTTAAGAAAATCATCTTTTGATTTTTTTCATTAAATAAAGCAGATGTAGTCATTGTCAGGGAAAAAATACTGATCTCCACAATGAGTTTTTGACAATTCCCCTTAAGTATATCCATTCTTTAAATAATGAGCTCTCATATAGCTCTTTATACCTTCAAAGTATTTTCCAATGATTAATTACTCTCCATAACAGCCCACTACAGCGCCTCTGAGTGTCAGAGGTATTACTATGCCCCAAACAGAAATGGAACATAGAGAGGTCACGTGAGTCAGCCACAGCCACAGAAAGAGTTAGTGTCAAGACTCAGGATTAGAGCCTAGGGTTTCCTGGCTCCAAAAGTCAGTGGTCAGTTTATAAAAGCATACCTCTTGCTCAGAGGATTCTTCAGTGCATTAAATGTGTAGTGTCTACCATGTCCACTACCCATAAAACAATAGCGAACTGGAAAATGAACAAGGGTTGGGGAGATAGAATCCAGCCCTTTAACTCATGGGCAAGGCATCAACACTCCTGCATGTTCGTTAATTCAGATCCTGGGTTCGTATAGAAAAATAACCACCTTTGTCCTGTATGTGGGTGTATGTGGCTACTGGATCTATATGATCATGAACCATTTCCCAATCCTCTTCATGACAGCCTATGTAGAACTGGTCGCAGATAGTACAGAATCTCCCCGTGTGCCCATTATGCAGAATTGCACTGCAGTCCTATAACAAGGACAGCTAAAACAGCTGTGGGAATAAGCTTTGGGAAATTAGCATGATAAAGTTTCTCTACACAAAACAAACATTTATTAAAAGCTCAACCAATTAAAACAGAACTTGTATGTGAGGGCTGTGTTAAGGGTCTCAAGAACCCAAAATAAACACATTTCATATATGTAAATAACCAACAGTGTGAAAATACAAAAACAGTATGTTAGGCATTCAGATATGATAGTGATGGGGGACTCATTAGACAGAGATAGCTACTGCACTGATTGATGAACTTACAAGTACACGACTTTTAAAGTATATTTTATAAATGTTCAACTTTTCACACCTAGTCTACTTGCAGTAAAAGTTTTAAATTCAAGGCCTCCGGTTTCGCTGACTTCTTTCATTGATTATTACATTAAGGTGACTGAAAAATGCTCACAAATTTTTACATCATTTATTTATTGCAGATGTACAGAAATAAACAAGACAACAAGGTTCAATTCCACCCATCAAATCTAAGTAATTATCCCCTTAGATAAAGTACTAGTTGGGAGAATAGGCAGAACATTTGTATTTTACTGTGCTACTCAACAAAAAGGCTCTGGTGCTTTGAGAAAACAGAAGAATATGGCATAAATTATATATTATAAAGGGTACTTTTTAGGTGGCATTTCATTTTATCTAGCCCATTTGCCAGTGGTTAATAATTAAGGCCCAGCTTCCGGTCCCAATGTATTCACCTGCAATTTTGTTAGTGATTTCAATGGGAGCATGACTGTGTGTTGAGAACATAAAATATAAAACTTTTAAATTAATGGAAGTTTAGGTAAAAAAAGGTTTTAACATTTCTAATATTTTTACATGTTCTGACTTTAAACATATATAATTCACATGACATATGTGCCAATACACATAAGTGTATATAATTTTATTGATTCAATTATATAGGGCCACAGCCCACCAACCTTACCCACTTGCAGCCAGTAAAGACTGATAGCCAGTAAGCTGTTCAGTTAATGCCAAACTTTCAAATATTATCTCATTCACATACAGCCTGATCCAGCTCCCACTGTGACCAAAAATGGGGTAAATAGACATATGTTAAACCAAATATTCTGGGGGAGATTATTTGAGCTGGTGAGAATGAACATGTAGGTTAAATATCAATGTCACCCATCTCAAGCATTCAAATATCTGAGTAAGGCTCCCCAAAATCTTTAGATATGCTTGAAATCGTAAGTTTTTAAAAAAACAATACATTTGATTCATGTCTGCAAGCTTTTCTCTACAACCATGAGTGCTACAAACTTTCTTTTTTAAAATGTAAGAAGAGATTTCAGGCTTTAAGAAAAACATCAGTTATTGTGAGATTCCCAAGAAAATCTTGAGAGTTGGTAACACTGCAGTATTTGTCTTTCTGTGGTGCACTGTGAAAGGAGTAGTACCTGGGCCAAGTGTAGGTAAATCCATGATATGGTTCATAATATTTCATGATGGAAATGCAGATTTCTATATATCACTGCAGTAGCTTAAAGGATTCCCAAACGGATTCCTTTTGTGAGATTGACAAAAGGGCTCTGTGATGATTGGTGTATTTCTTGGGTTTAGTAAAGAGCAATTGTGTTTTAGAATCCCGTGTGAAGTAAGTCTGTGTGTGATATGTGTTACACCTACCACCACATGCCTCCTGAAAAGGTAAACTATGGGCCCAGAACATCCATACAGATGGAGTTCTGGGAGAAGGTGAGTTTCAGCTACAAGGAAGTCTGAGGAGTCAGCACTGATCCCAGGGACTAGGCAGTGGGCCACATAGTCACAGCTCCCATAAAGGGGTACTCTGCACCTCAAGAGTGTGTCTGGAAGCCCCAAAGCCAGGGCAGTGCCTGGACTTTGTACAGGCTCCAGAGGCTTAAAACACCCAGGGATTCAGTGGCTGGATCCCCTCACAGCAGTTTGTGTCCTGCAGCAGGAGTGTTCATCCGGATCTGTCACAGGATTCTATAAACAAATCATCTCTTTAATGCCTTGAGGTTTGTTTGCATTCCTGTTAACATGACCATGAGTCTCCATTAAACAGTTTCTTGGCAGAGACATTATCTCTACAGTAGAATCTCACTGCATAATATTTATTTTCTGTGAATCTTGGGAGGGAAGCAAGGTATGCTTTAAAAAACATAGTTCATGAGAGATTCAATACTAAAGACATAGTGTACAGGGCCAGATTTTCAGCCAGTGTACCGTATATTTTGTTTTCAAAATCCACTTCTGCACTTAAAGCCTGCATTTGTGCACAAAAGTAGTCATTTATGTTCAGATTGGGAAGTTCCCTGGTGGCACAATTACCTAATTTACATATGCATAAAATATTTGCATGTGCATAAATCAAATGCCTGGAAAATCTATCACAAGTTAGGTCTGGCATTTTTTTTGCTGTAAAAGATAGATTTCAAGATACCAATTTTTGATTGTGTCTATCTAGGCACTTATACAGTCTTCATCACTGTGCATTTGAGTGCCAAGAAGAAAGATGCTGGGAGAAAAAAAAAAAGAGCTAAGACATCTTGTTTGACAAAAATCTGCTCTTAGAGGGTACTCATGAAGAACAGTGGCATTATGTTGGAAAAAATGTGAAAATAGCAATGTACAATTTTACTGAGTTCCTTCACTGTAATATTTCCTCCTTATCGGAGAAGCATAATTCTGTTGGCCAAAAATGTGGAAAATAAATAGACCATGTCAGAAATCCAAAGGGGATTGGAATCCCCTTGAAAAGATTACAAAAGACTTGCTGGGATATGATGGAAATGTAGAATGATTGGAAGGGCTGTATTGCTTTTGCTGGAGGCATAAGCAACTGAGTTGGAGTTGGGTCAGAATGGTTAGATATATTGAATATATTATTGTTTGCAGCTGTTCTCTGTCTCTTTGGACTCCTTTGGTCCCCACTCATACAAAGATATGGAGGAAAAACAATTAGCCTGATAGTACCAGAGTGCTGATCTTTGGGCCATGAGCGTGTCCCAGCACCATTTCACTAATTTTCTGTCTGTCACAGGCTTACAGTACCAGTCATTATGAACTGTACTATAGTTACAACTGTAGCTTCTTTTTGGAAGGAATAACCACTCTACCATCTTGCTCTTTAACAAAAGATAGTGTTTACCATAACACAGTACAGTTTCAACAACCTTCTTACCTGAAGTGCTAGAGGCTTCCACCTCACATTCTTCAGAAGTGCAGGAGCAGAAACCAGGGTGTTTTGAGGACGTTTCTTCAAGGTTAAGATCACTCCATTTGGGTCTTCCCGCAATGCATTTACAAGGTTCTTTAACTGCCAGCCAACCTGAGGAGACAGCCCATAATGGAACTTTGAAAGATTTCCACTTAACTTACTTAAACGTGAAGGAAGTCTTGTGTTAAACTGAAATGGTCTATTAAAATGGAACTGCATTACAGTCCATTCCTTGCAAATAGGAGCATCATTTATAAGTTATATTTGATTTCTCTTGGACAGAAATGATGCTGCTGATGCTGGTGTTTTTTTTCTGTTGCTAATTTTTTTTAATGGAGATGAAATGCTTATTTTATTCCTAAAGGTATAGAGTAACCAGAGGATTTTGAAAATACTAATGTAATGCTATAATTTTTCTTGTCTTCTAAACAAAATTGATAATTTTTAATTATCCTTGCCACTGAATTATCATTGCATTTCTCTGTAGGAAGAGAAATAATAGTCGTGGAATAATTACAAACTGCATCCTCAATGTTATAACTGCAGCTGTTTAATTTTTTGGGTTGGGGGCATAGGAGAGAGAATATCATTGGACAACAATAATGTGACTTCTTTGAGGGATTAATTAAAGATAAAATATCATTTGTTTGAATTACCAATAGTTCCACTGAGAGGAACTGAAGTTCCCAAATTATTATAAATGATAATTACAACACAAAGAACAGTATCACTAAATCTGAAGGGATTTCATTTGTGTCTCTTGTTGAAAACTGCTTAGAGATATTTTTCAGGATTCTTGGTTATTTTGCATACTTTTTTTTCTGCTTTTCCATTTGAACATTTAAGTTTAAAAAACAAGCTATGAATTTTCAATTTGTATTTATGAATATACCTCTTATCATCCTATAAAGCTAAATGCTAAAAGGGATTTAAAAATTATATATAATATAAACAATGGTCTCAATGTGCAAAAAAAAAAAGTGTATTATAGAATTTTTGAAATATTTATGTACTGTTTAAATAATTTTTAGTGGATTTTATGCAGTAAAAGAAGCATGAATTTGCACACACAAGTAAAGAACATTTTTTTTGGTATTATCAGTATATCAATATTCACTGTTTGCCAGCAGGGACCTCTGCATGAAGTATCATAAAGGAGTGAAAGTAGGAGATTGGATGAAGCCAAATATAGGGCTGTGGTTTCAGGTCCACATATACAGTATAAGCTATTGTTTTTCCTCCAATACAAAATGTAACTAATATCTGATGTACTGAGCACCTTTGCCTGCATGGCATTAATTTATATGACTGTCATTTATGTTTAAGGTTGCTACTGTACTGTAAATATCCCTTGAATATGATCAATTTCTATTTCCTAGTAGTTCTTAATGAATGCAAACAGACTAGATCAGGAAAGAACACTGCCTAGAGGCTATCACACACAACTAGGGTGACCAGATGTCCCGTTTTTACAGGGACAGTCCCGTTTTTTGGGACTTTTTCTTGTATAGGTGCCTATTGTCCCCCACCTCCTGTCCTGTTTTTTCACAGCTGCTGTCTGGTCATCCTACACACAACTTTGAATCAGGTTCTATTCCCAGCTCTGACACCAACCTGGTTGTGTAAAGCTAATCAAAAGTCAGTTAACCTCTCTGGGCCTTAGTTTTCCATCTGTAAAATAGTCATAACAATACTTACTTACCTCAGAGAGGTATTATGGAACATAATGCATGTATGTTTGAAATGCTTGGGTAAGAGGTACTATAGCACTCCACATTTACCATAGTTCGTGTTATGCTATCATTTCTGTTAGATAGTGTAAGCGTTTTATAAGAAAATGAGATTCTGAGCATATTTTCTTCCCAGGGAAGGCTAAAAATCTCCAAATTCCATTGAGATTGTTAATCTTGTTGTCTTCGCTGTCAGTGTTATCATTCCCATGATAGCCACATGTTGTGTTCCTCATCAAAAACCAGTTCTGTAGAAACAATCTCCTTAAAAATCCTAGGAGGACTCTTCAGGGGAAGAGCTGGAGGGGAATGTATCTGAACAACACAGCAGAAAAGAGCAGGGACCTTCTGAAGAACAAAGACCTAGACACTCAGACCATGGGATATTTAAGGCCCAAGAAAATACATAGGTTACAGAAAAGACTCTTGTACTGTTTGTACAGTGTCCTTGAAATAAAATGATCTTCAAGAATTCTCTCAAGTTTCCTTAGCTAGCTTGAGTATTTACTCGCCATTATTTACTCTGAAGGAAAACGTTTGGTATAGTCATCTATTCGACAGTCAAAATTACCTTTTTTTGCACAACATTGTTCTCTAAACCTTGCCTCTCCTTATTTTACAAGGCAAGCAAAGCACATTCTAGCATGGATCATCACATCACCTCATACACCTGGAAGCATGCAAATTTCAGCAAGGGGGGGGGGGGACTAAAATAGGATTCTTTTGCCATGTTGACAGTGTCAACAGTGCTGAGTCTTTTAGCTGAGTCTTTTAAAATTACAATGTAGGCCGTTGTTTGTTTTAATGATAATAAATTGGAGAATTTTCCATTTCTCTATTCTATGACTCACCTGCTAAATGTTCATTTAGCTTCAAAGGACCTTGCTGTTTGCCTCTTAGTTCTTTATTCCTAATGCACAAATGAAGCTCTAAGCATTAAGGCAGTTCAGCATGACTACCTGCTCTCCTATCTCACTAGAAAAAGCAGTCGTTCTTTTTCCTTTAAACAATCTTTTAGTATTGTTGAATTTCTACATGCACATACGCACACACAAAATAAAGAACATCCAAATTGTGCTGAATGATTGTGGATTTCAGTTCATCAATGTGTTGGCTTGCTGGTTTGCTTTCAGTTTGTAAAGTCTGATAGGGAGTAGTGTATTGTGCAAGAAGCAGACATTTTGATCACAGCTGAACCTTGATTAGGGGCAGGACATCTGTAATCAGCAGGGCTATAAAAGCAGGCAGCTAGCCAGTTAGCAGCACAGGAGCCAGCAACTAGAGTTGAAAACAGGAGAGTTTGAGGAAAGATGGGTGCGGTGGTGGTTTTTTTCTTTTTGACAGGAGTTTAGGAGGGAAAGCTATGCCAGCTACAGAGGTAGTGATCTGAAGAATGGAAGAAACAATGAAAAAGACTGGATGTGGAAGCCCCGGGGTGTACATTATTTTGGAGAGGATACCTGAAAGGTGCTTCATTTGTATGAAGTGCTGCCTGATAGAGCTGATGGAATAGAAGAGAAGAGATTTGAATATGCAGCTAGAAACTATGATTGAGTTTCACAGGGGATTTGAGCGGATGATGAAGGGAAGGAGAGAGGAGGCTGAAAGGAAACCTCAAATTTGCAGATGCATGTGCTGTTCAGGAAAGACAGAAATAAAGGTAAAGGTTGTGGAGTACCATTGTATATTAATGACTGTAAAGAAATTAGACAAATTATCAAAGGCAAGATATATTCGTTCTATGTCCCAGTACAGGTACCTTCAAGGGCAACTGGTTTAAAATGTAGTATCTGAAACAGAGATAAGAGAAAGTACAGAACAAGAAGTTAAGGAACTGGTAAAACTGGGGTTGGGTTGGATCTTAAGGTGACATATAACAGTCTTTCTAACTTGAAAGAAACCAAGAAGGTTGGTGGCAATTGCAGGGGCGGCTCTATGTTTTTTGCTGCCCCAAGCATGGCAGTCAGGCGGCTTTCGGCGCCGGTCCACTGGTCACGCGGATTCAGCAGCGTTTCTGCGGGTGATCTACCCACCGCCGAAACTGCGGGACCGGCGGACCTCCCGCAGGCATGCTGCGGAAGGCTGCCTGACTGCCGCCCTCACGGCAACCGGCACACTGCACCCCGCGGCTTGCTGTCCCAGGCACGCACGTGCTGCGCTGGTGCCTGGAGCTGCCCCTGGGCGATTGGATGTCTAACATAGTGAAAGCCAGTGAAAATGAGATAGGATCAGAGTCTAAAATAGGGAAAGAACAAGTCAAAAATTACTTAGACAAGTTAGATGTCTTCAAATCACCAGGATCTGATTAAATGCATCCTAGAATACTCAAAGAGCTGACTGAGGAGATATCTGAGCCATTAGCAATTATCTTTGAAAAGTCATGGAAGACGGGCGATATTCCAGAAGACTGGAAAAGGGCAAATATAGTGCCCATCTATAAAAAGGGAAATAAGGACAACCCGGGGAATTACAGACCAGTCAGCTTAACTTCTGTACCCAGAAAGATAATGGAGCAAATAATTAAGCAATCGGTTTGCAAACACCTAGAAGATAATAAGGTGATAAATAACTGTCAGAATGGATTTGTCAAGAACAAATCATGTCAAACCAACCTGATAGCTTTCTTTGACAGGGTAACAAGCCTTGGGGTGGGAGAGGGGGGAGGAGCGGTAAATGTGGTATATCTTGACTTTAGTAAGGCTTTTAATACTGTCTCGCATGACCTTCTCATAAACAAATTAGGGAAATACAACCTAGATGGAGCTAATATAAGGTGGGTGCATAACTGGTTGGAAAATCATTCCCAGAGAGTAGTTATCAGTGGTTCACAGTCATGCTGGAAAGGCATAATAAGTGGGGTCCTGCAGGGATTGGTTCTGGGTCCAGTTCTGTTCAATATCTTCATCAATTATTTAGATAATGGCATAGAGAGTACACTTATAAAGTTTGCAGATGATACCAACCTGGGAGGGGTTGCAAGTGCTTTGGAGGATAGGATTAAAATTCAAAATGATCTGGAGAAATGGTTCGAAGTAAACAGGATGAAATTTAATAAGGACAAATGCAAAGTACTCCACTTAGGAAGGAACAATCAGTTGCACACATACAAAATGGGAAATGACTGCCTAGGAAGGAGTACTGCGGAAAGGGATGTGGGGGTCATAGTGGATCACAAGCTAAATATGAATCAACAGTATAACGCTGTTGCAAAAAACCCAAACATTCTGGGATGTATTAGCAGGAGTATTGTAAGCAAGACTCGAGAAGTAATTTTTCTGCTCTACTCCATGCTGATTAGGCCTCAACTGGAGTATTGTGTCCAGTTCTGGGCGCCACATTCCAGGAAAGTTGTGGACAAATTGGAGAAAGTCCAGAGAAGAG